CACACACACACACTGGTACGTCAACAACAATAACCTCTGAGGTCAGACAGAGCTAGCGCTGCATTAGCCCCAGTGTGAACCTGCTGAGAGACAGAGCGAGCCAGTACAGCTGGTGTTAACCACCCAAAACATACACACACAGAGTGGCAGAACAACCACAGTGGCACCGGTACAAACGTCATAACTGTGCCAACACATCCAGAGTACACTGTATGTACAGCTAAATAAACATTTCCAGATTGTTGAATAGATTATTGACTGGCTGTATGTTGTGTAGCGGGTTAATACGTGACTTTATTGAAGATCTGACTGCTTCTCAGATGAGCCGGTCTCATGACAATGCAATAAATACAATCAATGCAGCCAGAAAATTCAACTGCCATGTTTTAAAAGAATAGGAAGCACCTGTCTTGAGATTCCTGCTGCTGCTGAGCTCAACACTTGTGTCTTTCTAGAAAGGGTTGTAAGTCCATGAATAAGTGCTTCTGCTTATGAGCAGTATTGTTTTCACGTGTATGTACAAGCTCATCTCTCCTGCCAAACTCTGCACTCTTATACGGTGTACCTGGCACTGTATCTGTGCCTGTGGGAATGCACTTGTTTCAAGCTGTCAGTCAGGCATGTTTATTTTCCCAGTGTGGCAGCGCCCACAGGTTCCTGGTGCTCAGCTCTGTCGGCTCTCCACCGTCCCAGCCATGCCAATAGAGCGCTCACACAGGGAGGGCGGCGCAGTGGGCAGTGTGGGAAAGTGAAGGAGGGACAGAGGGGGGTGTGGTGGGAGGGAGAAGGAGAGGGAAGGAGAGATCTAAAGGCAGTATGTGTGCTTGTGTGAAGCTAAAGAGAGATGCAGGTATCTGTGCAGCTGTGAAGGAAACAATATGCACACAGGCAAAGAGGTGCACAAGTTCAGACAGTTATGTTTGTTAGTGCTGAAACAATTAGTTGATTAAATAAAGTTGGTCAATATGAAATTACAACAAATTACTGACAACAATCGTAAAAATTCACTATGTGTAGAATTTCACTGTTAACGACTTTGGCATAAACAAAAAACACAAAACACTGTGTCTGACATTAAGCACACTGATGAATCCACAAGACAAAATGCTTCTCCAAACATAACTTATTATACATTTTTGATGTTACAGTCACATTGTACATGTAGTGACTTTAAGTACTTTATTAAGCCAGAATGCAAAGTATTTGCTGCTTCCAGCTTCTCAAATGGGATCATTGTACATTTTTTACATCTTTTTTGGACTGTTACTGAGACAAATGAGCAATTGGAAGGCTGTGGTGACATTTTATAGAGTAAACAATTACTCTCAAGTCAAGTCAGTTTATTTATAAAGTATATACACATTTATAAATGTTAAATCAATAAAGGAATGATTAATTATAGCCGTACTGTGTGTACATGCATCTATTTCTGCATGAAAGAACAAATGCAAAATTATGTAAACATGTCTATCAGAGCGTGAGAGTGTGTGTGTGTGTGTCTCAGGTTATATTGCACATGGGTAATCCCCTAATCCTTTAGCTTTTCAGTGTGATGTTAGATACACACCTGTTGAAGTGACACCCACCCACCCTTCAGCAGCCCCCTTCAAAACACATACTGTACATACACACACATCAGCACACACACTCAGCACCTGAGAGAAGAAGATTCTGCTTTCACCTGTGTAAAAGAGGGAGATCTCATATTCACACTCATCACCACTCAGTTGCACAACTCACACACACACACACACACACATACACACACACACACCTGTAATGTTACCTGATAGCAGAGTGCTTGTCAGAGGCTCTGGCAGACTGGTAGATAAGCCTGGTCTGGCAGTGGGTGGTCCTCTTTCTGCGTATTGATGTTCAGGTAGTAACAGTTCTCTGCTGGAGCGGCTGCTGTTGGAGTCAGATGAAGTTACTGTAGGAAGAGACAACGAGGTCAAAGTTCACACTATATTCGCTTTAATGTACTTAACACAGTGGTTGCTTTGAGAGATTAACTCAAAGAACGGTTCATTCACTCTCAAAATGCAGACTGAAACTGCAGTTCACATACCAGTGATTGAGTCATCAATCCAGAGTGGATTTAAGAGACAGAATAATTTCAGTTATTTTCAACCTGAGACTCATATTTCTCTCTATCGCTATAATGATGTTTGATTGGGTTCAAATATTTGGCACTTCTCTGTAGAGTGAAAGTGAGCACCAAAATTGGACTTGCTTTGGCCCTTGACTGTATACTGGACAGCAGTGCCTCTCTCAAACTGGATCAGCAATCGTCATGGCAGGATTTAGAAAAATAAGACCGTGTTTGAAAATAGGCAGAATTATCGAAGTGAACGTTGATTAAAGTCCACCCCTTGAATTGATCTGGCCTCATCCTGGCAATTAACAATTTCTGTACATGAAAATCAATGTGGCCCTCTGCAAATGTCAGTGACAAACCTTGTTTCATGTATTCCTGGTTGATGTAGCAGAATAGATATGATAGTTGTGCTGTAATTTCAGATACTTAAATTGGACACGCTGTAATTACTCTCTGACTTAATGGCAATTAAAGCTGCATTAAGCAATCTTAACCACTAGGGGACAGTTGCGGGGTTTTGCCATTGTGTATCATTATATCAGGTTCTTATTGGCAACATGTTAGCTAATAGTTACCTCCTTACACTTTACAACATAGAGCAGCATTATCATGCGACTGGTGATGGGTTTTATAGTCACACTGACATTTTAGCTCCGATTTTATTTCAACAACTCCTAAGGAAAATACCACAAATACCTATATGTCTCCCATTCATTTTGTCTGTCCACTATATCATATACCAGGTGTCGTACCATATCTGGCTTGTCTGATTGTTTGTAGCATGTTTCAAGTAGTGATAGACCAATTGATCGATCAGCCGATAAGTCGGCCAATGTCTGTGCTCACAAGGCTGATGAACAAAATGTCTTCAGACACATCTTTAGGCAGCTTTGTCAGTGTGGCTGACTTTTCTTTGTTTTGATATCGGCATTATATATCGACCATCGGCAGCCCTGCTCTATAAGTTTCGGGATCGGCCATTGAAAACCCAGTATTGGTTGACCGCTAGCTGCAAGGTTTTATATGTTTGACTTGATGAGCACTGTCGGATATCAATGGCAGAGACCAGGAAACCAATGAGCTCAAAGTGGCAACAAAGCAGCAACAAACTGTAGTTTAGAGTCAATGCCCAGTGGGATTAGCAGTACCACATTCAACCCTTTCAACAGCCATTGCCGCCATTTCACAGGTCATTTAATTCAGTAATAATGTCAGAAACATTTCCAAATGCTGGTTTAATATTAGAATGTACATCATCATCAGTTTATGATTTTTGGGCATGTGCATGTCATAATCAGCTGTTTTTAAATGGTCAGTCCATCTAGATTTCCAAAATTTGTTGTACTACTTTTTGCAGAAGCTATTAAAACTTGTGACAGGGAAACTGTTTCTATAAAGGGAAAATCAATAGCTATTGATTTTTTTTTTTATAATATATTACTTTTTGATGCTGTGAGAATCACAAACACAATTCCATTCAATTCCATTATATCGGATGGTTGATGGACATCTTTAAATCTTGCTAAATAAATCCCAGATTTGAAGATATTTATCTGCATGGATAGGATAGGGACAACTAGAGGAAAGTGAGATCACATTGTCCTTTCAATGTATAACTCCAGTGTTCGCTCTGAAAAGAGATTTAATGCAAGGTTGTTGAACATGATATTTTTTTCTTAAGCAGGTTTGAATATCACCAAATACATTATTGTGGCACTTTATTGACATTTTTGTATTTTTTCTTTACCAGGGTCCTCCAGGATCTCAGCCGTCCCCCCACACGCAGCCTCCCCCACACAACCCCAGTAATCCCATGATGGGACCTCACGGACAGGTAAGACGGAAACATTTACACCTCAGCTGCTGTGCTGTAGTTCCCAATCTAAGCCTACTTTCACTTTCTCACACTTAGTCGCTCGCTCGCACAACAACAGTGTACAAAACAGCACACAAGTCTCTTGTTGTGCTAACAGACAGGACAGGCCGCATCCACGATGGTGGGTTGGATGAATAATTTAGCTGTGTTGGCCCAGCTATAAGGAGCGGAGGTGCATCTGGAGGGCCTTCTCTCTCCCTCAGCCCAGCACTCACCATCCCATAGTCCATCAATAGACCATTAATATTGCAGCAGAGCCTGACACGGTGCAGCTCTCTGTGCACAAACCCACCACATGTTCACAAGAAGAGAGGAGAAAAAGGTAGAAAGGAGTAGGAGAGGAGGAAGGAGGGAAGAGGGTTAAAGAGTAGTAAGTCAGTCCTTGCCTCAAGGGCTAACTGGGATTATATAACTCGTCCTCCACTTTCCCGAAACACACACATGCACTGACACACCGAACATACAGTACATAATTACCACTGAAAGACAATCTCCTGTTGTATTAGTGTTGTCTGTGCTTATCTCTGTGTGAAGATGATGAACATTATTCTGCTGTTCATGTTCCGTGACCAAAACACACAACTCTTACCCGATCGGCATTCAAATCAGCATGTTCCCTCTTGATACTAAAATACTTGGATTGAGTTTGGAATTAATTCTTATCATCTGACACTGAAATATGGCTCACTGGCTGTGGGTATTTGTAGTTGCAGCAGGGTACTCTCATAGGTAATTCTGAAAACCATCTGTCTGGGGTGCTTTACATTATTCACTAGTTGTGCGCTGGCTCTGTATGTGTGCCTAGGCCAGCCAGCTCTTGTCCCCTCTGCTGAAACATCTGTGTGGACGGTGTCTTCTGTTTCTGCTATGAATCACACTATCCAGGCTGCATTTTTGTAGCAGTGGTGATACAGACACGGCGAGAAAATGTCCAGCACATGTGCAGCTGCACGAAACAGGCAAACATTAAGATGTAGAACACTTCCTCCTCCTTGTACGACTTCATCCTCCCATCCGAGTATGTCATGTTCCTGTTCTTTTTCTGCTCCACCTCCCCCTCTCCATATTGTTCTTCCAGTGCAAGTTTCTGTCCTGCATGTTTTCTCCCCCTCTCTTATCTGTTCTCCTTTACCTTTATCCTAATGGATTTTACCACCTGAGGTCTTGCTTTCTAAAACTTAATGACAGACCCCTCCTTCTTGGTAAATGTAACAAAACTACTACAGTGCATTATTCTTTAACACAATAGCTCCCCCTGCTGACTTGCAATGATAATACTTCAAAACTGGGTCTTTTGTGCCTTCTTTCACTATGTAGAAGTGGGAGTGTTATTTATGAAGAAGAAAGGTTTCAAAACCTTGCAACTGTTCTGTTTTATGTGTGTTATGTGCTTCTGAAGAGCAGATTTGCACAGATATACGATGGGAAAAGACAGTAATTTGTTTGAAACCCCAAAATAACAGCATCTTAAAACAAGATAAGAAAATAAATAAGTTGAAAATGAACACAACATTTATCCACCAAACAAACAGTGGCCCAGAATTTATGGTTATTAAGCTTGAATTTGAATCTGACGTTCACTGAGCTGATAATGACAATGGCACGCTGAGACATGTAGACTGTGGTGGATTGTGTATTCATGCATTGTTTTTATCATTTCATCTCTATCTGTGTCCTTAGAAATCTGTTTAATTACTTATACTGCATTCATTTTACCTTCCTATAAATAAATATTGTCTATATAACTTGAGTACTTGAGTGCCCGACCCTAATTTATTTAGTCACTTAAGATGAAATGTTGTGGAATACAGTATTTTAATTAATTCCTTAAAATCTGTGTTTTTAGGGAAAATCCTAACATTACCACTTACTGTTATTAAATTCATTGATCTCAGCTGATGTGTTCATGAATTAAGATGCTAGATTTCATGCTAAGTCAATAAAATGTAAAGTGCACCTTGTGTGTTTTCTTGAGCATAATCCTCTCGTGGAGTGTTGGAATTGCACTTGATTAAAATGAGGTCAAGAGCTATGATATTTGAAAGCCCATCTGTCAAAAATTATAACAAGTATTCTGCTTGTGATCATCCTGAAATAAAGAACTCATTGTCCTTCTCATGTCCTTCCTGCAGCCATTCATGTCTCCACGGTACCCAGGTGGCCCAAGGCCCTCCCTCCGTATGCCAAATCAGCCTCCTGGGAGCATCCCTGGGTCACAGCCTCTCTTGCCAAACAGCTTGGACCCCACCAGACCTCAAGGTATTGACAGACGCGTGGTGTTATTTCAGAGAGGCTGCACTTTGCAGAGTAATCTCATATTGGCTTCTGAACGAGAATGCTTTCTCCTCATTTATGGGATTATTATTGATCTAAACAGAGCTGCCATTCTAACAAGCTGCACTCTCTGTGTTTCACCACAGGACATCCAAACATGGGAGGTCCAATGAGAATGAATCCCCCTCGGGGCATGGGAGGCATGGGCCCACAGGTAGGTAACGGTTTTTATTACTCAACCAGTTATACAGAATAAAACACAAAGGACTGTGTAGATAAAGTCATGACAGTGGATGGTGTCCTTCAGAGCTACCAGTTCACTGCACTCCCACTCTGCAGCTGCCACACAGACAGATTTGGTGCTTAGACTGTCTGTTTATGAACAAACCCAATCTTTGGTTGCCCTTCATTAAGAGCAATAATAAAAACAGCTATAATGTCAAACCAGCAGCCTATAAACTGCATGCAGATAATCTTTCTTCTCCGCTGAAGAGAGATTTTTGGTCCTGCCAGCCTCGTAACTTTGCCTTTAAATGTCAGAAGCGCTCTGATGATTAGCTTGGCTCTGACCAAAGCTCATCCACTGCCAACGGCAGTTTTACATGTTAAATCCTACTTGCCGACTCCCACCTAGGGAGACAAACAGAGGCGGAATACTCAGGCTGCTCTGAGCAATGCTGCCACCAACACATTTTGACCAAAAATTGTGCCAGTTTTGGCACTGTTGGTTTCCTTTTATCACACTTTAATTTTTGTGGATGGGATTCAGTGTAATACATAAGATGCTTAAACAACAGTGTCCTTTTGAATTACCATTACCAGACAGCTGCTTGATTCGGCACCCAACCACCTCCCGCTCCAACATCACCTCACACAAAGACACACACACATGCACACACACACTCTCCCTGTGCCCCTCGGCCCCTCTCTGTGCCACCCTGGCTCGGTGACTTTGGCAGTGAGCGTACCAGCAGCTGGTGTGGCATCTGCTCGACAAGTGTAATCGTCTGCTGAACAAAACTCTTCCTCTGAGTGGAGCTGCTCTCTGGCCTGCCCCCATAGTCTCTCTCGCTCTCTATATCTGTCTCATTCACACACACACACACACACACACATACGTACAAATACACACATGTAGTGCCAGCCAAACCCGCCCGCTGGGCAGCCATGAAAACATACATGCAAACACGCAGAGGGGAGCATGGACACATAGAGATACATACACGGAGACACACAACATACAGACAGACACAAACACACTCACACACAGCAGTCCACTTTCACACACGGCTCATGCATCACATAATTAAACACTAGTTAGTGGGAGACATGATCGTCGCTGACCTTCATTAAGCTTCAAACCTTTAGACAGAGCAGGTGTGAGACGGCGTGCTGACTGTTTGCTCTTGTCTTTGTGCAGAACTACGGCGGAGGGATGAGGCCTCCTCCAAACTCCATGGGGCCAGGGATGCCGGGCATGAACATGTGAGTAGATTGAAAAGAAAAGTTTTGAAAGGTGAATTCTGCTGCCAGAGAGAGTCCTAATTTTCCAGGAAATTCTGTTTTTCTATGTCAATCGATGAGATGTGATGATTCACTGATAGCTGCAGCTCTCCCCCAAACACTGTTCATGTTTATGGCCTGTTGGACTCACTTGTCCCCAGATATCAGCATAGCGTAGGTGAGAAATTACTGTCACCAACAGGTTGTGAAATCTTACCTTTCCTTTAATAAAACCCAGGGAAGTTGAATTGACTCTATCACGTCTTCGAAATTAAAATATATCACAAGGCAAAAACTGGTTTACTCACAAAACTCTAAACTATAATGAGCAGATTATATTATAGGAAGGAATTACTGTATTAGGGATGTGTGTCTTCTACAGTTGAAATGCTGTGTTACCATACTTAAAAGGTACCTTTTACTACAGCTGCCTGGTAGCTCACTTGGTAGAGTGTGTTCCCCACGTACATGGCTGAGTCCTTACCGCAGTAGCCTGGGTTTGATTCCAAAAAGCCCAAAACATAATCTTAAAAAATTTACTTTAACATATAAATTCACCTCTTGTTGCCAATAATTCTGGATTATTTGTGAATATCAGCTAATAGACTGTATTTATTGACTTATTAATTATCTAATTAAAAATCAGCTAATTTCTTAATCTTTCTTTCTGTTTGCTTCCCCAGGGGTCCTGGTGGAAGAGGTCCATGGCCGAACCCCAACACCAACTCAGTGAGTCACACAGTCTTACATCATTATCTCCTACATGACTGAGTGTGTTTACAATAACTGTGTCTCATGTTTTGTTTCACCTCGGGTCTATTCTCTCCGCAGATAGCTTATTCATCTTCATCTCCAGGCAACTATGTGGTAAGTGTCCCGTCATGGACTCGTGTTCAACCACGGGCCATAAATTACCTGTCATGCAGTGATAGGCGCGCTGCCATCTAGATGCACTCAGCACTCATTTCTCTTTTTCTCTCTCGCTTCTTCACCCCTTAGGGCCCTCCAGGGGGAGGCGGCCCACCAGGAACTCCCATCATGCCTAGCCCCGGAGGTGAGTTACACACTTCAGTTTCCCTTCTGATTTCTACTTTTATCAAGGGCTCCTTCTAAAAAACATCAGACCTGTTCTCTGTCAGATTTAGATCTCTTTTTGGGAGAGTGATAGGACTCTGAATACTTCAGGAACTGAGCCTTTAGGAGTGTAAAGTGTAAAACGTAAAAAAAGGGTACAATATTACACAATTTTAAATTGACACATGCATAATACAAAATGTGTTTGGGCATCACATTTGTTGTCAGAATTTTCCACTTAAGGCACATTTTGGAAAATATTCCAGTGTTATTGTGGAGACAGTTGCATAAAAGGGAAGCATAGGCATGTCAGTCAAAAGAGTGATCCATCTCAGCTTTGACCCATCAATCTACTGTCTCTGTGGAGGATTAGTGGAGAACAAAACACCGTTGGCTGATATCCTGTAGATGTTCTGTTTCTGTTGGCCTGTGGAGAGCTTCTTTTTGTGTCCACTATTTATTATTTATATACGTACCTCTATTGTGATACGTTGCCGGGGCAACCTTTTTGCACAAAACGCTCCTGCTCACACGTACACCGGGAGGGAAAACATATTTCCACTGCAGTCGCCAAGACTGTGCGCACACACACACACAAACACACACAAACCTCCCACAAAAATGCACACCTCCCACTCAGTATTGCCCCCCTTCTCCAGTCACGACAGCACAAGCTAGAATTCAGGGACACTAACAGGCAAGATCTCTCCACCACTTAGCACATACTGTAACAATCTCGTCCCCTGTCTTTCAATCTGTTATTCTTATTTTTTTCCCCTGTTTTTCTCAGTCCACTCACATCTTTCTGCCTGCAATGTCAGATCAAGGTCACCTTATCCTTCTGAATCTTTTTAGGACAGACAGACACACAAGGAGTGACACAGCATGTACTGGTTGTTGCTAAGTTGCCAGGGTGTCCATATAAAAACTTCATCTAATCTCCTGATTGCAAGAATAAGAGATAATGGGTTTCTTTTATTGCTCATTGCAGAGAGCAGTGTGTAGATTGATTGACAGACAGACTCACTGACGTTATGTACTGGCACTTAACATACAGGTTGTCTTTGTCCTGTGCAGCAGAAATAAGAACATGTCTGAGCTGTAGCTGCTTATAGTGTACAAATTGCTAAATTAAACTGAAACGATGTCAACTACAGGGACAGACAGTGCCACTCCAGTTAGCTTGTTATTTTTCATTCATTACCCCAAATCCACCTTAGTTTTTCACATTTTCTTGAACAATTGGATATTGATATGAAAAGAGACAGAAAACAGTGCCCTGGTGCCTATCTGCTAGTATTTCTATGAGCCTAGGAGGCACAGAGTGCTTTACAGTATTACGATTTTAAGCATCAAACTTCTCTTTATTCATAGATTCAACAAACTCAAGTGAAAACATCTACACAATGATGAACCCCATCGGCCCTGGTGGAAATAGACCTAATGTAAGTAATACAATAACCAATAGCATTTCAAGATTTATTTTTCTGTCTAATCTACTTCCTTGTGGCGCAACCTAGGCATGCAAACAGCAAGATAATATTACATTTGTACATTTTATTGCTATCTTTCTTTAGTTCCCAATGGGACCAGGTCCTGATGGGCCCATGGGTGGAATGGGTGCTATGGAGCAGCATCATATGAACGGATCACTAGGTGAGTAGCCAAAGACTGTGTGCAGTGTACATAGCAGGTACTTGGTAAAGCTCCTAGTATATTGTATATTGAGTATATTGAGTGAAACCTGTTACTTTCTATGAACAAAGGCCTTTAGAAGTAAGACTATGCCCTCTTATGGCTTGTAGAGGAAGTGTTCTCCCTCCTCCTGGTATTGAACAAAGCTGAAACAGATTAGTGGGGCAGTGAGTGGGTCAATTGATCCTGTAGATGGGTGAGACATGATCAGCGAAGGCAGAGAGCTGGTGCTCATCTGTATCGGAAGCAAATAGTTTAATTAAAAGCCATTATGTGTGAGAGGGCAGGGTGTTTCTCCTTGCACTGGATATCCTGAACTGATGTTGAATTAGCAGCAGGACGCTGGGGATCAGTTAACAGTTACCTCATAATAATTCAGGTTCCTCCTTTTTCCATTTCTGATCACAGGCTCTGGTGACATGGATGGGTTGCCAAAGGTAAGACTATCTATCTATCTATCTATCTAGTACTTCGATCTATGCTATGCGTATCGCTATCGTATCGTATCTATCTATCGTATCTTATCTATCCATCCATCCATCCATCTGTGTACCTATACCTTTATGTCTGTAAGGCGTCTGTGTTCATGCTGCTTCTTTCCATCTGTGTTGTGTAGAATTCTCCCAACAACATGGCAGGCATGAACAATCCTCCCGGCACTCCGCGGGACGACGGCGAGATGGCAGGCAACTTTTTAAACCCATTCCAAAGTGAAAGTGTGAGTACCAAAGGACACAACATACCTCTTATGCTGGGAACAAACTAGAAGACTAATTAAAATCCTATTCAACTGTGACAAAAATCACATGTTTCATCACTTTCTGCTGCAGATCATCTGCATTTGGTAGCATAAAATCTCAGTATAGTACTACAGACCTGTGATAAAGCTCAGATAGTGTGGCTTCTTAATGTGACAGGCTCAGTCAGTACTTCTGCTAACTCATCAGTCAGGCTCAGGATAGTTTCCTTGCTCAAATGAGGGTTACGGGTAAGGTTAAATGGGTTAGTGGGGTCTGTAAAAATTCTTTCCCTTCTTATTGCTCGCCCCACAACACTGTAAACCACAAATGATGAGCCGCGTTTTCCTCTTTTTTTGTAATTTGGGGCCACTGGTGACCAGCTGTCTCTGATTGTCACCATGGAAACCATGAGTCTGTCTTTATTTTCATGAAACTCTCTAACTTGCATCAGACTAATCTAAGAGCAAAATGAAGACACAACAGAAAAGTCTACAATATCTTGGTGAAACCGGCCTCCAGCTCTATTGGGCATACTCTACCAATAAATCTCCCTGACCTTGAAACCAATCCTCAGGGCTACATCGAGCTGATAATCAGTCCTTTATATTGTGCCTAGTTTTCCCAGCTTTACCCAACACACACAAAAACACAGCATGCACAAACCGAGCATGGAAAAGAACCACGTCATATGCTTTCTCTGATGCATGGAGAGATTGTCATATAGTGATTAATTTGAGACTGACAACTACATTTTGCTACAGTATCTTCACTGTGATCCCAAATTCCCTAACATTTTCTCCTTGGGCTGGACTCTGCTTTGCTGCTTGCTGCTGGTTTACTGACATAGAAAGTAAATTAGAAAGGGTTAATTGTTAATGTGTAATGTATGCTGCATAAGGCCGGTGTATCCGACATGGCATGTAGTTTAGTTAGTTGTATTGCTTTCATCTTGTACTTGGTAGTATAAGAAGTTTAATATAGTTTTGGCTTATCTTTTCTCCCCTCCCTCTCTTTTTTTCTCTCTTTACAGTATTCACCCAACATGACGATGAGTGTGTGATTTTTTTTTATTTTATTTTATCTTTTATTTTATTTTATTTCTTTTTCATCTCCCCTTATCCCAATCTCCCCCTTCCATTCACCCCGGTGCGTCTTGCATTACCTCCCTCCCTTCCTACCTCCTCCTCCTTGTGGACGGTGTGCGGTGCCACACAGCCCCTGGGGATGCCCCTGGAAAGCAGGACTCCCCTCAAGGTCCCCCATCCCAATGCCTGTAAAATGGGTGTAAGAACATGAAAGGGCCTTCAAGCAACAGGATGGGTCGCTTCTCCTCGCCTGCCGGGCCTCATCACGGGGCCCTAGGACAGTAAGAGCCCGAAACTGCTCCAAGCCTGTCTCTCCCAAACCCAAAACCTGCCCTCATGGGTGGCATTCAAGCCCAATCAAGATGCCCCTCTGCATCTACCACCACTCCATTATATCACGCTGATCATAACTTATGAGGGCACGCAGTTGTTGACTGACAGGAGCCGAAAACTCTCATTCAAAAACTCTGCTCTTGTGGCGGGAATGATAAAACAAAACAAAAAAAAAGATGAACTGATAATGTTATTTTAGGGCAAGAATGGTTTTCATTAAATATTTGTATTTTTTGTTGTTGATGGTAATATTATTGTTATAATTTTCATAATTGATATTATTCTACTAATGTAGTTATGATTTCCTGTAAAGGGCACATTTTATCTCAGCAGCAGCATCAACAATGACAGAATAAGCACACACACGAAAAATGCACAATGATTTTCTGTTTACATGAGTTTTAGGTTATTTGATGTCTGTTTTGTTTTTTTGTCGGTCTCACTTCACATACCTCTCCTTAAAACTTCGTTCAGAATTCGTAGCTCGAGTCTTTGCCACCCAAAATATCCGTAGCACCATTTTCATAAACGTTTAAATTAAGTTAGTATCTGGGCTTAAACTGTCCATGCAGTTCTCAAACAGGTTTGTCAGAGCATTGCTGTTTTCTGGTACAAAGTGTCTGCTGATGCACATGAATGATCGTATGTCTATCTAATCTTGTCTTAATAAGCACCCCCTCCTCACAATTTTCTATGTTTTTACTGCAAGGGAATGGCACTGATGAAATCCTGCGATGACAGGACAGGTGCCAGCTCTCCTTCAGTAACAGAGCGAGAGAGCATCTCTTCTACGGATTTGGTCGTGTCTGTAAATACAACATATTTAGCTTGTATTGTGGTTGTTTTATTATTTGTTATTTACAAGTTGTCTGTGAATCCTAAAACGTGGTTCCTTCCCCTTCATCACTTTGTTTGATTTCAACCTCACTGTGGACTCCAAGCGGCACTGTTTTCCTCCCAGGATTCATTCTGGTCTCTCGCTGATGCCTCCCTTTGGACTGGGAGATATTTAGGGACCTCAGATACACTCACAACGCCTGCTTTTGAGTTTGGATTGAACTCTCAGATCCTGTGTGATCCACTTTCTTAACCCAGACAAGACGGGTTAAATAACTGTCTCGTTAGAGTTCCTGTCACCCTGTTCCCTCAGTGAGTCCCATATGCACGGGATAATGGATCCAGAGTATTGGGAGGCTGTAGCAGCACTGATGATGGGAGCAGAGTGATGCACTTTGGGGTCAACAGGCTGTGCAGCCACATCGGTCGACAGAAGAGGAATAATGGGATGCTTTTGTAATGGATATATTTCCATTTTGGTGGATTGTTTTCAGCAGATTGTTTTTATTTTAAATGTATTCAACTGAAAAAAAATGAAAGCCCATAGAATCTGCACACAAAGAAATGCATAGTTACATATCACGCTATTTAATTTGTTTCTTTCTGTATGTTATGTCCTCTTGGCCTGATCAATTCTGTCACTGTTTTTAAAGGGATAAATGATCTCTCATGGCATCACGCTGCAGTTCAAACCAACAATAACTAAACAACCATTGTAGCCTCTATGGGTGATGGTGACATACTTATCAATTTTCTGATATCAATGTGAACAGATTGTACCCAGAGTTCAACAGGGACATCTCCAGGATTCGGCTACCGGTGGCCTAGGAAACACTTTCTCTCCAGTGTTCCTTCAATGTAGTGACACACACCTCCCTTCTTTCCTCCAGTCCCATCTCTCACCCCTCCCAAAAAAACTCCCCCCTCCCTCTTCTCTTTAATTTCCTTTTTTGTAAATACTGTATAATGCATTTTGATATCATTGACATGTTTTGATATGTCAGTCACTACCAATGAATACAGCTGAAAGTAAATTATAAATAAAACTGTCCATGTTTTTCATAGAGAACAGATGCGCTGACTATTTGGCTCATGTGGCTAAATTTCCATAAAAATGTATAGAATACAGTAACACAATAAATGCAGACTGTATGCTAAAGACTTGTATGGTGGGGAGGATAGGACAGAGAGAGGACAGGACAGAGAGAAGCAAACAAGCTGTGGCGTCCTCACTCTGCCCTTGTCTCCTTATGTTTTACTTAAATGTTACTATTGGCTTTGAATAATCATTTTTGAATATTTTTTTCCAAAGGGCATCTTCTCACAAAAAAACATGTGACCTCGTATTGCAGTTTTTAATATGAAGGATTTTTATCAATTTAAGAAAACTTTTAAAAAGGTGAAAATAATTATGAGAACCTCATTTTAAATTAAGAACAGATCAAAAGATAACTGTGTCCTTTGCTATCCGCTCCTGTTATAACGTTGTATAGATTGAAGCTCTCTCACTGATCCTCTCTCAGTCCTCTGTGTATATCGATCGTTGGCCATCTCTGTACTTCTATTGTGATGTATAATACTGTACCATTAGGAAGATTTGCTGGTCAGGTGGGGTGGTTATGTTGAGTTGGGGAGGGGTGGGGATTCAAGGGAAGGGGTTATGAATGATTCTCCTGTACCGTTCATGGTCCTTTCTGATGACACGGCAGTATTCAATATGAAGCAGTCTGTCTCTTGGGTTTGCTTTGTATTTACATGGTAGGATAGTTCAGAATCTTGTCTTAGGGACTTAGGTGTCTTGTGTAGGTAATAAAGATGTTCTTTGTATGTTTCTTTATATTGTAAAGTTTCTTTAGACTGAAAGAAAAACAGATAATTTGCTTATCAAAAAAGAAACAATGCATCAATAATAAATGTCATTTGATTTTTCCTTGTTGTTTGAATCACTTCTTCTGAGCTCTCATTTAGCTCTTAACCCCCATATAATCCAGTGCATGAATGGAAGTCATATACAGTGTAGGAAGGGATCACCTAAGCATTTCTTGTAAATCATCTATGTAAAACAAATGTCCAGTGGGTGAATCCTTTTCAAAATTTGGTAAGTTAAATAACTAGGCATGTTATGTGCAGTATGTGATATGATATTTATGGTGATTTAAGGTTCTGGTTCAAAATTATATAAAAGGGAAAGGGTTACTGTAACTGTAAGGACCCTCTGCACCTAAAAGGTTGGAAATGATTAAAGTGCCAGTGAATTTTATGTTTTAACTTTTAACTGTTCTATTATAAGCATTGGTTTATGGGCCTTCCTATGCCCACACCTTTTAAAACAATAAATTATTAATGTTTAATTTAGGCTATCTGCAACTGGTTTTTACCAGTTTTAGTCTGCCTTAAGCCACATGACCCAATTTTGAGTTTAGTTTGCACAGGGCAATACAGCTCCAAATAAGCAAGAAACCAGTTAATTATTAACTAGTAAGAAATCCTGCTGTGTACATTCAAGAACTAAATCATTAGAGATATTGCAAAATGTGTGTGATAATGGCACCTGAATGCGCTTCATTTGGCTGTGGTGCTACGTACAGGTGCTCTTAAATTACCTTGAGAATTAATTATTTCTGAATTAAAAATAGCCAAGCCTGCAGTCATAATCTGGCAAGTCCATTTTGTAACACACGCTGGCTCACCCTCTTTAGCAGTACAGAGGTGGATTCATTTTTCGATATTAAAAACTAAAACGTGCAGTCCTCGGGGTTCCTGTGAGGTCAAACATTAATATGCATGAAAGGGTCCAATAGAAGTGCAGGAGCTCAAGGTGAACAGGAAGCAGCCTGTTGGGATGAGCGACAGACCGCGATGAAGTTGGTTCCATGTTGCACAGTCAGTCACCCATAGAGGTCCCACTGGTTTCGTGTTGCCCAACAGCAAACGGACTTCGCCAGTGTAAACTGGAGGAGGCAGATTGTGAAGGACCAAAACAAGCGTCTGCACAGATAACGTTGAGAGGTAAGGTCCTCTTTATCGTCACATATGAAACTAACTGAGCCACTCTATCTGGCGTCGATATAAGCAGAGGTACATTACAAGACAGGCTAAAGAAAGCAGTCACTTATTGTCCACTAACATAAGATAGTTAGGTATCTAGCGAGATTACAGCTAATGCTAGTTTGTACTGTGAACTTCGTCTGTTAGCATGTAGCCTGTTAGCTGCTTGAGGAGCCGTCGGACTCGTCAGAAACTTCTGGAAACAGGGGCGAGTTTGGCTACTATTAATTAAAATACATCCGTGTAGCTAAACAGTTGACTACGGGTGAGTTGTAATTGTATTAATGTGCGTTTGTTAATTTATAATTATACGCCAGAGGACTCAGTCAGATGATTTTTACATGGTGATGATTGTTTGTACTGTAGATGCTGCTAGCATTTAAGCTAGCTGTGTGTGAGCAATAAGCTCACTGATT